ATATGATATGGAATTATACCGTTGTAGTACAAATGCATATGCGTCAGACATCTTGACCTATACTTTTCTTTGGTTTATGCATTTTCTTTTCCCTTAGTCCAAGCAGAATAGTCAAAGCAACAACAAAATCAGATAAATTCAAATCAAGATAAGCATAAACATATTTTTGTAGAGATTGTACGTTATGTTAGTGAGAGCACAATCCAGAAAGCTGCAAATTGGTCGAAGGCTGCACTTCTGGGCAATGAGGCTCTAAATAGCCTAGAGGATCTGACTGCTAAACAAATCATTGACCTGGACGTCGAAATTGTCAATGGTATTCAGGAAGATCTTTTGGTGAATGAGGATGCTTTTATTAAAAAAGTTGAACAAATCCGTAAGTATCTGTATACGCTTAGATTCACGGTCTGTGTCTTAGAAAATGCAGATAATTCGAATGTAAATATTTACGTTTTTGACCCCTTGAGATGAAATACATATTTAGACACGAAATCGGGAAGATATCAAAACATATGCTCCTAGTTCCTTATATAATAGTGCTGCTCTTTAGTGTGCTGCATTACTCCATTGGCGGTTAAAACATGCGACGATGAATTTCTTTCCAATAAATTGTTTAAAAACTTTTCAGAGCAAGATTGTTTACCTTTGGAGGAGGTTCTCCCAGCAGTCAAGCAAGCAATGTCTAATACACTCAGGTAGGCTTGGCATCATGAAGTACTATATGTATTAAAAGTGTGTAGTCGCCTCGTTGATCGATATCGCTTCTCATTTCACTTACATTCATTAGCAACACGTAATGCGGCTATCAAAACAGACTGAAAAAGTCTTAGAGAATGCTGAACATGACGTAATTTGTTTTGATGTGGAATAAAATTAACAATGCATAATTCTGTTTATAATTAATTTATAAGGATGCCTGGTGATCGGGTGGATAAGTTTGTTGCGGATATCAAGGCCGTCTTAGTGTCAAAGCTGATGAGCGAGGAAATCGTGGAATCGTACAGGCCCCACTTGGTGACTTTTCTGGAAACCATAAACCTTAGCTACTTGAAACTCATGCAAGCTTTACAATCATTGGATGCATTCGCTTCATATGTCTCGGCCAATGCAGGTACAAACAAAACGGTTTACGTAGAGCAAGGTCCTTTCCTGCTAAATACTTTTCACTGGTATTCTGCCATTTTCCATGGTAATAGCTCGGACATAATAATATTCGTGCTTTCTGTGTAAATTCATCTCTCTGGTAATGCATTTATTAATTGTCCTATTTTCAGATAATAATTTGCTTTCGGCGTTGTTGCCCACTGAACTCTATTCGTATTTCTTCAACGATCTACAAAACTACATCAACCAGAACCTTGCGAGCCCATTGGACGGACGTCTAACTGCCAAACTGAACGACCTGGTTAAGGCAATTTTGCCTTCCGGTGGTAAAGCTTCACAGAATAATGGACTTGATTCAGAACTTGAGGAACTATTGAACGGTCCTTCTTCAGAGCTACTTGCTCGCTTGTTGAGACACTCATCGAGGAAATAGTGTTTCAAATTTTGACTGAATGGTCATTTAGAATTGACCAATATTAATTATCCAATTGTTATAACCCATTCTAATGCTGGACGTGCATGGAAACCTCGGTCAATCGAGTGTCAAAAATGACATTTTTAAGAACTGTTATTACGTGTATAAGTAAATCTGTTATGTATATGAATGTTTGTTGTCATGGTTACAGTATAACTTCTATGTTATTGATATATTCTTCAAATAAAAAGAAATATTATGTTCGTATTTTAATTGTTATCTCTCATGAAGACAAATGCGCATTGTGACCTCTCGCACATTTTCCACCGTATACATCCTTCATAACTATATAGGACAAAAGATGCAACTCTCCGATTCTAAACTAGAAGAAAGCATCGCCAAGGCGGCAATAATCCTATCGAATATTTTATGAATATAGGACGACACTGAATGCTCTTAAACATACTTCAACATCATCTATTCAGAGATCCCACTGGTGATCCGCTTGATTACGCTCACTTCGTTTCGGTAACAATAATGTCGGAACGTCGAAGGTACGATTTTTCCTTTTTTCTCCCTATATCAACGCGTTGTAGTCAGAATCCGCACGACGTTTTTCTCACAAACGTGTATCGGTATCGTATGTATGTATGAATGTATATGTTTGCGAAAAAATAGCTCGGAAGACAACAGAATCGTCTATTTTATTCCTCACTTAAGTCACAGAAACGATTTGGGTTAAAAGTGCAGATCTTATCTGTTTTCGAAATACTGCTTCTGTAACTTAAGTGAGGAATTAAATCGACGATTCTGTTGTCTTCTGAACTATTTGTTCGCAAATGTGTACATTTTCTTAAACATATGTTGCTGATACACGTTCGTTTTTAAAGTCTTGAGAATTCTGCCTACAAGGTGTGATATAAGGAAAAAAGAAAAATCATAGCTTCGATGTTCCGACATTTTGTTACCGAAACGGTACCAGCGTAATCGAGTTGATCACAAGTGGATACTGCATAAAGTCTGACAACATTATTAATCCGTTTTCCAAATGGCCACTACAGATCAAATCTGTCTTACTTTCAAAATATTTTTGTACAAGAAGTGGTTTTGAATGGAACAAGTTTGAAGAAAAATGGAGCAGTTACGTGTCGGCCTCGTAATCCTTCATTTTTTAAACATTCAAACTAGAAAACGGAAACTCCTCGGAGTAGCAAATCCCATCAAACAAAACCTGATTTGATAAATAGCAGCCATCTTGAAAATCTTTTCTCGAACCGAGCTCCCTTGTCCCTAGGTATAAACATGTAAAATTTGAACCAAATCTGTCCACAAGTATTTGAATTATTGGAGATTATGTTTTTTACGAAAGATGACGGCCATTTTGAAATTAATTGGCCTTTTTGAAAATGTCTCCTTGACCAGAGCTTCTTTCTCTCTTGGCATCGGCATATAATATTTCAACCAGATCCGTCTACTGGTATTTGAGTTGCCAAAGATTCCTTATTCCTTATCGAGCAGAGCTCCTGTGTCCTTATGCATCAGCATATAAAAGGTACCGTCCCAACAGACCCCCTTTCTGCCCCCATCAGAATCTAACTTATTTTGCATCTAGAGTATCCTCATAAATGTACTTCACAATAATATTTCAAAATTAGGTCAAATGATAGCCCAATGATGTCACTGGGTGCAAAAAGGTCAAGTTGGTAAAATCAATCTAATGATCAAATAATTTCCTTAAACATACCTAAATAAAATAAAATCATAAGTTAAACCAAGGGCGTTACAATACCCGGGAATTTATCGGTTCGTGCAGTACTTGTTTGTGATAGCGCCCTCTGTAGGTCACTGTGCTTATAGCCTACAGTAATACGGGGTAGGATATTGGGAATTCGGTCAGTTTCCATCCGTCGATTACGCTATGAATTGAAGCAAGTGTGACCACTTTATCCACTTAAACAATTTGATAATTGATTAAATCTTTAAACAAAATCGATAAACACGTTATACACTTCCTATCTCCTTAGAAATTAGCATGTATTTATGGATTGTGTTTTCGAACAAGGCTCGACCCAGACCAATAGGGAAATCCTTATGCTTAATATGGCACAATCAAAAATGTGCATATCAATCGTGAATATCTCTCGGTTCAAAGCTTATTTCTTTCTTTGTCACAAAGTTATTTACATCTTGTGAGTTTCAATGACGCGCGTTTTATTTTATAAAAAATGCCAAACTTTGTGACAAAGAATTTCATCAGCTATTGCCCCGAACCGATCAGTCTTCTCGCTGCAAGCAAATTGCCCCGAACCGTCCGTCTTCTCGCTGCAAGCAGGATGAAATTCTTTGTCAAAAAGTTTGGCATTTTTTATAAAATCAAACGCGCGTCATTGAAACTCACAAGATGTAAATAGCATGTCATTTACATCATACCTTGATGGGGAAAAATAGATCTTATATGTTAGAAGTACGTAATAAAAGTTATCGTGAAAATGAGACAGTCGTTCTCGAGAGAAAAGAGCATAAATGCGCATTTAGAGAGTTTTGGTCCGTTTAAAAATCTGTAAAAAATTGGGGTACTTAAAAGCATTGGGAGGCATCATATATTTCAAATTAGACACACCCGTACCGGTCCAGCTTTTGACCCGTACCGGTCAATTTTCGTTAGCTGTGTATACCAAGGGTGTATTTAACCCTATCCACAAATTGATTTGTAATAAACATATTACGTTGTCATCTTGCGCTCGACTGTTCTGCCAAATACGCTATTGAATTGCCATATTTCTAGGTCTTAAACGATACAATATAGCAATTTGGGACATTGATTCAGGTAATAGATATATGTTAATCAACGTAACTTTGAATGATAATCTGGATGCTGACTTTTTTTACTTTTTTTCACTAACGCTAAGACGTTATATCAACCGGAAATAAAATAATTCAACTCTAATTTCAAACGTGTTGAATTTTAATTCTTTTGTATTGACTATACTGGAGGTATGAATTTGAATATAGCACAATATTTGTAAGTAAGCTTAATCAATAATGAAGATAGCAACAAAAATTGATGAATTGTTTTATTCTAAAGAGTGCATACTAACAAGAGAATGGTACGTATTGTACATTTATATATTGTTTTTAGGGGATGGAAACTATCAAAAACTGTCAATCGTCATTTGTGCCACACTTGTTTTTTGTAGCTTGCCAAATGTCCATTCTTTAAAAACAATAGAAAAGGAATGTACTTTCCTTTTGATACAACAGTATATTTTTTTAAATAAACAACAGTTCATTATATTGTGTTGCTACCTAATTAAGATTAAATACTGAGTAAAACAGACCATTCTATGAAAAATTGTGACCTTATCCTATGGAAGTGGAGATTATGTTTCGCATCAAGTTTGGATGGTGATATTGTATAGCACACACTCAAGGGAATTGATTGTACTTTCTCTAGACACCAGAAATATCTCTGTCGATAAAAGAAACATTTAGGGTCCCAATCTCTTTTGTTTACATTCGTCAAATGAATTAGAAAAGTTGTCATAACATTTTGAAAGTCAAATTAAAACTATGCTCAAATGAAAATGTTCAAAAATTACAGGTCGCAGTGCGTCGATTAAAACGAATAGCATACCATTTGCATTGTACCAATTATTTTGATCTGTCCAATCAACCGTAAGAAGAGAAAATGCAGCCAATCAGATGCAAACACTCAGGTGCCTAGCAAAACCAATCAATATAAATAATAGACCACGTCATACTTGTAACTCATTACACGTGCTGTTGATCGAGCTGAGCGTTAGTATGAGGGTCCTGTTTGCTATTTTGTTGTTTTCCGTGGGTGGACAAAGTAAGTTTTTTTCCTTTGTAACTATTTGAACTCACCATTGTGGCTTTTATATTTTAAAAAACTCGTACCTCGTATTTCAGGAATTAATAACGTTTCATATACGGTCTACAATTGCATAAAGAGGGCACTAGTGATCACAATGGACATGGTTTTGAAAATTCGAATTCATTCCCAAAAATAAAATAAAATTGAACATACTTATTCAAAAAGCCATCGGTTTTTCTTTTTATAACCCACCCTATGCAGACAGAGCCTCTGGGAAATATTGGGTGCGGCGCAAATGAGCGGAGGGTGCGGAGCTAACGGTCATTTTTGAATTTAAAATTGGGATATTTCTGAAACTAAGCCGTTTTGGGACTTCAAATATACCAAGATATGTGTATTTGACACCAAATATCAATAAAATTGTGAAAATAGTAGTGCAATTCATTTTATAGCGACGCAGTATGACTTAAACATTTCCCAAACCTATATATTTTGATACTATCCTTTTAATACTGCGTCCCCAGCATTCATAAAAAATGGTGTTCAAGATACACTACCCATGCAAATTATTTTTGCATCTTGGAAGCCAGGCAGTATCTGTGTGATTTTATAAAAATTCGGAAATGTTCTTCAGATATGAGCCCCCTCTAAATATTGGGTGCGGAGGTACGTTTATGGAGCTAATTTATGGGATAATTTCAAAATATATAGGTCTGGGAAAGGTTTAAGGTCTCATGGAAGTTAACAGGAAATGACAAAACAAAAAATGACAAAGCCATGCTGGATTTTGAAAATTTTCTGAACCAAGATAACAGAGTTCTGTTTGGACCTCCAGTCAGTTTAACTAGTTCCAAATATCATTTACATGACCAGGAACACAATTGAAAGGGTCAGAATGACCATAAACATGATAAAATAACCTTTTTAGCCCTCTGAAAATGTGACTGAAAAATAGCTAAAAGTAGGTGCTCAGGAAAGGTCAATGAACAGAATCTTTTGATTTTTTCAGAATATGTGTCCAATATATATATATATATTATATCCTTGCACATTCACTGAGAAAATTATACTTGTTCAGTGACCTTTCCGAAAGAACAACTATTTTCAGTTTACACTTCAAACACTACTGATTTCCGTATTTTTAGAACCGTACTACAGTAAAATTTTTAGCCCTTTGAAAGTTAGTTCAACAAGTTAAACCTAGTCTGGGCCTTATTTCTTATCTGACATATCTTGTGGCCCGCCCTAGGTTTAACGTCCGTGCCTATTTGCCCCTAAATGCAAAAAAGTTTAATGATGGTCTATGGCAGCGCATGGAGTTCCATGCGCGTTTAAATAACTGATAGTGAGAATTTGCAACAAATGTAAGCATAGCACGGAAGTTAAACCCAATCACGGCTACAAGAACATTCAGATTAATAAATGAAAGCCGTGGTATTGGGTTTAACTTGTTGAACTATTTGAAAGTGTGACTGAAAAAAGGCTAAAAGTAGGAGCTAGGGAAGGTCACTGAACAGAATCTTTTGAATTTTTCAGAAAATGTGCCCAATATAATGCTCTAACTGATACAATCTTTGAAATTTTAGAAAATTGTCTTAAACAAAAACGGCGGTCATAAAAAGGAAAATAGATCGCTTTTCAAATCATTTTTTTCATTTTTTTTTCTATGAATGATATCAAATTTTCAAAGATTGTATCATTTAGAGCAATATATTGGGCACATTTTCTCAAAAATTCAAAAGATTCTGATCAGTGACCTTTCCTACCTCCTACTTTTAGCTATTTTTCAGTCACATTTTCATAGGGCTGAAAAGGTTATTTCATCATGTTTAGGGTCATTCTGACCATAAACATTGTGATCCTGGACCTGTAAATGGTACTTGGAACTAGTTAAATTGACTGGAGGTCAAAACAGAACTGTTATCTTTGTTCAAAAAATGTCTAAAAATGCAAAAAAATTGTCACTTCCTGTTTTGTCATTTCCTGTTAACTTCCATAGCACCTTAATCCTAACTTTTGTACAGTCAGATCCATAAATAATTACTATCGATTTCAAAAAGACATTCTGTCGCACATATAATAAATTCTTACCTCAGGGAATTAGTACTATATTTTCTCCGTTCTGGAAAATACAAATACATGTATAGTGGAATTTGTGTCCATAATGACCATTTGGATCTTAAAAATTTGAAGTGATTTCCACATGTTAAATGTCCACCATTTTTGAAAATAATTGTGCATAGTCTCAAACAATTCTGCAACAATCCATTTTAAAATAACATTTCACCACTTACACAACTATAATATGTATTCTACCATACTTTATATGTCTTTATCAATCAATTGATACAATAACATTACCAGATATACAAATTGAACAATTTTCATTTTGGTTTGAGACTACAAAAACAATGGCTGCCATTTGAAAAGTGGATTCACATGTTTACAAACTATCCACCATACGCTGATATAAAGCATTGGAGACATTACTCCTGCTAATAATCATTTACAGGAGTATATATTCTAGCAATAGAGGAGTGTTTGGCACATTTAATATTCAAATTCAGCAAAACTGTGCTAAAAATTTCAGGTGTCTTTTATTTTTGGATCAGACTGTATATTTTAGTTTTTGTAGTTTAGCTATCATATCTGTGTCCTCTTATATTATGATACTTCTCTGCCATGTTATTTTCGGAAAAATAACATGGCTGAAACTCCCTAAATTACAAAAGGCCACAGCTTTGCTGCAAATTATACATTACTATCTGAAATATACAAAAGTTAGGATAAACATAAATGTTTCTATTTTTACATATTAAGCTGTTTCAATTTGGTCATTTGATTGCTTATTTTTTAAATTCAAAGTACTCACTAACATTTAAAAGGACGGGTGTCATTAAGGGCCCTTTTTAGCCCCAAAAGATATCTGATAATAATGCATATCATATTGAAGAAAAATCATTTGTGCTTTATAAAAATACAATTTCAGCGAATTTTGACCTTTGATGTTCACACAACAGTCATTTAAAGATCATATACCATTTTTGGTGTTTTTACAAAAAATTCTTTATTTATTGTTGTCTAAGTAAATAGTATATAAATATTAACCAATTTAAATATATTAAAATGTAATATATGAAATACTGAAGAAAAGATACGATTAAAATTATTTTCATGGAAAAGCACATAGGGCAATATTGACAAAATGCAAATGCCATTTTGGTAGGTTCTGGGCTAGCAATGGGTACATTTCAACTGTGACTCTAATGGATTACTATTGACTTTTATCAACATCACAGGGCAACATTTAAGCAACTTAAATACAAGGAAAATCAAAGATTTCCTCTCATTTCTAAAACGAGGAACAAAAGCATGAATTCAAGGAAAATAAATGATGGCCTGTGCCAAAATATATAACATATGAGAAAGTTGTGGTACAGGATATGTATAGGATATTATATGATTTTAAATGATTTTATCTTTATCTCCGAGTTGATATCAATATCTTGCCAAGTTAGAATAGCGAATTAGCGCAGATTGATATCAATGAGTTGGATTAACACAATATCACGAAAATTCATAGGATGTTCTATTTTTCCCATAGTTCACCTCTAAAACTAAACAAAGCATATCATAACAAAATCCATTCATTCGTTCATCCCCGTGATGTCATGAAATCACTATGTAACAAAACACATCATATTGGTGGTAGTTTTCAAATCCCTGCCAAAAGGTGATATTTGTGAAATATTTTCCGTATTCCACAGATATCACTTTTTCCACGCATTTCCAAAATATCATAAATATGTTTTCATGTTACCTAACAGAGCGGAACAGAGTTCAACTATGGGATAAAGAATAAAAAGTAGGTACATAATTGAATTACCAATCCAAAAATATTAAATATGAGGGTTTAAAGAAAGAATATTGAATATGAGATTCAAAAAGACAAGTGGCCTCATGTTTCACATTACCCAAACCCCAGATCCTCGATGTCATATATACTTGTATACTGTATATCAATGTTATTTACTGGGAGGATTAAATATGGGGTGTATAGCAATGGTCAATACGATATTTCCAGATGGATATTTTTTCCCTAGAAGCGGAACCCAAACTCAGTCATGACATAGAAGCTAACTTTTGCAATTAATAGAATCTTGTTTTTTTTAATTATATTCTTGTGTTCTATATTTGAGATGAAATAATATGAGATTCATTTCTACAAGAGGATGGAACGAATGTGAACTATACTCCTTTTCTGAATAAACAGAACAACATTTTATCCAAGCCAATTAAGAAAACCAAGGCCAATGAGTGTAATTTATGCCCAGTTAAACGAACACAATAACAACTTTTTGTCTGGACTTACTTATTATGTAAGAATGAATTGTATTACTGTTTACTGCATTAAATGTCAAGTATATACTATCTGTATTTAATTTCAAATGCCTATCTCACTTATCGAAGGTATACAAGAAATGTTATTTTGAAACAAATTCAGCACAACCAAAACCATGTCCACATAATATGACAAATCCAAGATGGCTGCCACAATTTTAGATCCATGCACATGTGAAGAAGTTAGAAATACACATGGTCCACAAGTTCCATCCCCAATAAAATGGGAAGTTTAAGGTTTTCACACATATCAACTCTATTCCTATATACTTTATATTTGTGGTAAGGCTTGTGATCTAGGTAAACTTAGCATGTTTATGTACCTCCTATCCTCTGAAGCTAAAAACAGAAACAGTGACTTCAATTGAGAAAAATGAATCTTATGGGCTCCATATACATTTTGAGTGGCTGTCCGGCTTAAGTTAGATACTACTGATAATCTGAGATTGAAAATTATGTCAAGTTTAGTCCTCAGCCTCTTATAACGGATAACTTCGAGGTAATTGTGTTGTTACTGCAAAAACCTCTATTTCTTCATCACAAATCTACCATATTTTGCATCTGTCAAAACCCTTCATTTCATATTAATTTTCAGACTTTTGCTTGTGCCATCATTAAATATATATATTCAACTTGTTATTCAGAATATTTTAAGAACTTTTCATGATTTTTTTTATTTTCACACTTTTGAAAAAATGACTAAGTCAGAGAATGGCCTCTTAATGGCATGTCCCCTTTTACTATAAATAGTCGAACAAAAAATGCACCAATCATCACTATCACTTTTGAACCTTCTGTTTCAGGTCTTTTTTTTCATCGGAACAATGCTGACTTAACCGATTTGTACAACGAAATGAGACAATTGCAAACAGGTAAGAATGTATTCCATCAGGGTACTGTACTATGCTTGAGATTCGGCTGAATTCTCTTGGGCGCATTGGCCCTCTTACAACAATAGCTGTACTATATAATGTCTATATGTGATGTTGGCCGGGTGCTTTCATTTTGAGAAAGCAGGTACAGGTAAGCTGGAAAATAACAGTTTGGTAAAAAATGCTATACCTGCACATGTTATTTTCTGGTACAAAATAAAGTATCAAGGCATGTGTCAATTTCCTTGCTTTTTTTCAGGAAAATATCTTTACATTGTCTTCTTTTACAATATCTGGTAGGAGTTCAATGGGAACTCCAGGAAATTCTGATATTTCACACTTTCTATTTTTCCAAATATTCTTTCAAAGTTTCCAGACAACACAGGAGCTACCATTGACCTGTTTCCAGGTTTACTAAAAGTAGACAGTGTAATGATACTTTCCTGAAAAAAGCAAGGAAATACACACATGCCTTCATACTTAATTTTGTAACAGAAAATAATATGTGCAGGTATAGCATTTTTTATCAAAAATGTTACTTTCCAGCTAAACCTTAAACGGGGCAATACACATTCTATGTAGTAAATTCCTGGTAGTTTTGAGTTTACATCTTGCTCTACTATGTTACTACGGGTGCGTCTCTATTTCTTAAATGATTAGAAAAATGATTCCAATTTCTTGGGAATCACTGTATATCGTGCAGTATATAGGTAGTATTGTTTAAGGTAACCGTTAACTTAATCAAAAGTACAAAAAATGGCAGCCATATATTTTTGACTAAGTCACATGATTTTGTATTCTGTTTTCCTTATATGTGAATGCATTTCCTGACTAAAGAGAGATGTCAAAGAAAACTTCACTTTTAAACGCATTTTTTATAACTATGAATTGGAGGTGCATGGGTCCCAAAAGCTAACATTAAGACCGTGAAATGAGGCTAAATTTTATGGATTATCACAAGTATATTTTATCTATAACAGTATAATTATCATGATAGATACATGATTGAGGCTTTATAAATGATAAACAATGGATACATGAGTGAGGATTACTTGGGACTAGAAAATAGTCCCAGCAAATAAAATGGTGGACATGAAATATTTAGAATTCAAAATGGTTTGAGTTTTATTTTACCCTTACAATGCAAGAAGCACACATTTTCATGCTTCTTCAATATTCCTTGGTAAGGTAAGATGATTTGTGGAAATTTTGGAGTCTTACAAATGTATCTCCGTTGTAATCCTACTCCTTGAAAGTTATCCTCGCTTCACGGTCTCCATGCTAGCTTTAGGGATCGATGCACCTCCAATTCATAGTTATAAAAATGTGTCTCCATTGCAATCCTACTCCTTGAAATTTTTAAACGTTATCCTCACTTCACTGTCTCCATGCTAGCTTTAGGGACCCTTGCACCTCCAATTCATAGTTATAAAAATTGCGTTTAAATGTGAAGTTTTCTTTGACATGTCTCTTTAGTCAGTCAGTGCATTCACATACAAGGAAAACAGATACACGAAATCTTGTGACTTTATCAAAAAAATATGGCTGCCATGTTTTTGTTCATTTGATTAACTTAAGCGTTACCTTAATCTGATTTATATCTAATAATGATAGTATTTTATGGGTCCGTTTTAGCATTTCCTGAATGATAACATAGATTCAAATTGAGCCAATAACAATGATTTGAGGTTATAGTATATTTTTGCCATACCCATAAATCATAATCCCCTCTAAGACAAAATATAAATATAGCCCCCCCCCCTCCTCTTAATGAAAATTGTTGTGATTAACAGGCGACCATTGCATATTTCATTGCAAAATTGTATGGGGAATTATATACACAATGCCTTGTACACATGATAAATATTGTATTCGAATCAATAAATTCGTTGAAGTTGAAGCAAACAGTAACTGTTTAAAGCATTTTGGAATAAGGGTATGGATGCCATATATCAAAGTGCCCCCAATAATATTTTGTATTTTGACCTTCGCCTCCATGTGATATCGTTTCAGATTAAATGCACTCAGGTTACTTAATAAACTTATTCTTAATTTGATTTTCAGAGAGACGTTTCCTCAAACCCATCAAAGTAGTCGGAAACGCCATAGATAGTTTTTTTGGAAAGAAACCCACAACTCAATTGGCTACCGAACCAAACACTCCCCTTGTTACTAAAGCAACTTCTCGATTGCCTGCTGCACCAACTACTCAGCTGCCTGCTGAGCCGACTACTCAATTGCCTGCTGAGCCGACTACTCAATTGCCTGCTGAGCCGACTACTCAATTGCCTGCTGAACCGACTACTCAGTTGCCTGCAGAACCGACTACTCAGTTGCCTGCTGAGCCGACTACCCGATTGCCTGCTGAGCCGACTACCCGATTGCCTGCTGAGCAGACTACTCGATTGCCTGCCAAAATAAAGTTAAAGAAGCTATCTTATGCTGCTAATCTGCTAAGTCCATACATAGACAACAACTTGTTCTTTCAGTCCAATATTTCTGCAAGTCCTCAACGAATCAACGTGTGTTTAGATGTGGCCCCTCAATCTTTGAATCAACTGCAACCTTTACCCACAGCTTGTCAATCTGTCATGTTGGACGAGGTTATTCAAAGTAAGTACCAAGTAGTGGATTTGTCGTGCTCTTCCAGTTTGTTCTTAAAGTCTTATATGGTATGCACATATATGAATGTATAAAGTCTCATTTTGATGTACAACCTTTACTGAACGTACTCCAGTGCATTTCACCTATTTTCACGTATTTTCAGAGTTATTCCAATACTGGGCTTATAGCGAAGATTCTTTCATCTTGACCAACACAATCTTTTCAATATTGAGAAATGCTCATCAAACACCAGAAGGTCGAGTCCCCGAAGTATTACTCCTCAGAGCTGCCAAAAATTTAGCTGGTATCATACAGGGAGAAACACTGAAAAAGATAGCAGAAGAGTGGACCATACAAAAAGAAACAATTAACTATGGTTAGTTATCTATTTTGCTTTGGTTAACATTTCAAGATGAGCTTTGTGCGAAACCCATTGGATTTTAATTTATCACACACAAAACGTCCATTCGCTTTGCTAAGTCCGCCTTGAATAGTCTAGATACTAATGGGTACACGTGGTCTTTGATTTATCAATTCCCCTTTGTATATCCAGATCTTCTGTTTAATTTTAAATGTGTTACAGATGGTTGTATAAGTGTAAGTGAGGAGTTGAATTTCATCTCGAGTATAGTGCCAACACTTAAGTGAGTACATTTTCTATAATTCAATTTTTTACACCAAATTACAACAGAAAAGCTATGGTGGTTCTGTTGTTTTCGTTGGCACTGTTCAGCTGGATGACTCTAATTGCAACTAAACTTAGTTACAAAATTAGCTGAAATCATTGCCATTGGTTTATCAAAAACGAAAAAATTTTGACCACCATCTTGAATGATACTGACTGCAGTTAGTCATCCAGCTGTGAAACAGTGGTTTGATGGTTATCGTTTATTGAGTATCTACCAGGTAAACTTAAAACCTATTTCGCATCTTGTAGAAAGGATAGATTTACTTCAATATCATCAATATATTACCAGGCTTTTATTCGTGCCGATTAAATATACGTTTAGGGTAAAAAATAAATCACATTTGAAAAACTTGGAACGCCTTATCTAGTGATATCGGATGAGGACATTTTTAAAAAGTACATATCTGCTATGTCTTGAAAGGGCTTCGGGAGAAACTAGACCCGGTGTAAACGGGTAGGATGTCCTATCAAATTATGGTCCTACTCTCCATTGATTTATATGGTGACCTAAATACAACTCTTTCCCTCATTATCTTATACGCAATCAGGGCCAGTAAGAGCCGTTAAGAAAGGGGACCATAATCCCTGGGGGACCGTCATTTCTTTCACACCGGTGTAAAAGAAATGATGGTCCCCTGGGGATTATGGTCCCCTGGGGATTATGGTCCCCTTTCAAAAAGGCCCTTGCTGGCCCTGATTGTGGATACGATAATGAGGGAAAGAGTTGTATTTAGGTCACCATATAAATAAATAGAAAGTATGACCATAATTTGATAGTACCTCCTACCCTTTTACACCGGGTCCTAACCCTTACAATTCTATATATCCAATATAAAAGTAATTCGAGAATATTTCTAATACACATTGTGTTAACTATATATTGTTAGGATTAAAGAGGACGAGTTCAACGAATTGTACAAAATTATGAGTAAAGGTTTCACCAATGGTATCGAAGATGAGGAGATCGTTTCAGTAATTGAAGGACTGATTGAGGAACTAGTTCTTCTATCGCCAGAATATTTCAAGTTAGTAAATAGACGCCTCGACCAACTTGCCAAATTGGATTCGGAGAATGGTTACCAAAAACTGCTGGACTATGTATTAAAAGTAAAAGGTACGTTATTATGAGCTAGTGTGTAAATTATTGTGTATGGTATATTATTTTGACAGATATAATGGTAATTGATACATCATAAAATGTGTATGTTTTATAGATCCAGCCATCATCGGCAAAATGGAATATGTTCTGCTGACACGTCTTGGAGAGGAGATTGGGCAACATCTGGATCTGTTGAAATTATTCTTTTATCCCCCTGTTCCTCCTACAACACCAGAGACGGAGGTTACCACAGTTACCATGCCACCACCTCCTTCCACAACCACTGTTGAGACCACTACCGTCATTTTGGGACCAGATGAGACTACCCCGTCCACCACCCAGGCCTTGCTGTTCTCTACAGAGTCGACCACCACCGAAGAAGGCCACACTACGGTACCTGTAACGCCACGTCCTAAGACTACGACACAAGCCTCTTTATGTCCAGACAATTCAGACATGTTTCCAAGGCTCGTGTCAAGTAAGTGTCCAAGGGTTTCGCTGCCATTGTCTAATATTTTTCAAGAAACACGTATCATATGATCTGGAATTACACCGTTGTATTACAAATGCATATGCGCCAGAGGACCTATACTTTTATTTGGTTTATGCATTTTCTTTCCCCTTAGTCCAAGCAGAATATTCAAAGCAACAACAAAATCAGATAAATTCAAATCAAGATGAGCATTTTTGTAGAGATTGTACGTTATGTTAGCGAGAGCACAATCCAGAAAGCTGCAAATTGGTCGAAGGCTGCACTTCTGGGCAATGAGGCTCTAAATAGCCTAGAGGATCTGACTGCTAAACAAATCATTGACCTGGACGTCGAAATTGTCAATGGTATTCAGGAGGATCTTTTGGTGAATGAGGATGCTTTTATTAAAAAAGTTGAAGGAATCCGTAAGTATCTGTATACGCTTAGATTCACGGTCTGTGTCTTAGAAAATGCAGATAATTCGAATGTAAATATTTACGTTTTTGACCCCTTGAGATGAAATACATATTTAGACACGAAATCGGGAAGATATCAAAACATATGCTCCTAGTTCCTTATATAATAGTGCTGCTCTTTAGTGTGCTGCATTACTCCATTGGCGGTTAAAACATGCGACGATGAATTTCTTTCCAATCAATTGTTTTCAAACTTTTCAGAGCAAGATTGTTTACCTTTGGAGGAGGTTCTCCCAGCAGTCAAGCAAGCAATGTCTAATACACTCAGGTAGGCTTGGCATCATGAAGTACTATATGTATTAAAAGTGTGTAGTCGCCTCGTTGATCGATATCGCTTCTCATTTCACTTACATTCATTAGCAACACGTAATGCGGCTATCAAAACAGACTGAAAAAGTCTTGGAGAATGCAGAACATGACTTAATTTGTTTTGATGTGGAATACAATTAACAATGCATCATTCTGTTTATAATTAATTTATAAGGATGCCTGGTGATCGGGTGGAGGAGTTTGTTGCGGATATCAAGGCCGTTTTAGTGTCAAAGCTGATGAGCGAGGAAATCGTGGAATCGTATAGGCCCCACTTGGTGACTTTTCTAGAAACCATAAACCTTAGCTACTTGAAACTTATGCAAGCTTTACAATCATTGGATGCATTCGCTTCATATGTCTCGGCCAATGCAGGTACAAACAAAACGGTTTACGTAGTGAAAGGTCCTTTCCTGCTAAATACTTTTCACTGGCATTCTGCCATTTTCCATGGTAATAGCTCGGACATAATAATATTCGTACTTTCTGCCTAAATTCATCTCTCTGGTAATGCAATTATTAATTGTCCTATTTTCAGATAATAATTTGCTTTCGGCGTTGTTGCCCACTGAACTCTATTCATATTTCTTCAACGATCTACAAAACTACATCAACCAGAACCTTGCGAGCCCACTGGACGGACGTCTAACTGCCAAACTGAACGACCTGGTTAAGGCAATTTTGCCTTCCGGTGGTAAAGCTTCACAGAATAATGGACTAGCTTCGGAACTTGAGGAACTAATGAACGGTCCTTCTTCAGAGCTACTTGCTCGCTTGTTGAGACACTCATCGAGGAAATAGTGATTCAAATTTTGACTTAATAGTCATCTAGAATTGACCAATATTAATTATCCAATTGTTATAACCCATTCTAATGCTTGACGTACACGCAAACCTCGGTCAATCGTGTGTCAAAAATGACATTTTTAAGAACTGTTATTACGTGTATAAGTAAATCTGTTATGTATATGAATGTTTGTTGTCATGGTTACAGTATAACTTCTATGTTATTAATATATTCTTCAAATAAAAAGAAATATTATGTTCGTATTTTAATTGTTATCTCTCATGAAGACAAATGCGCATTGTGACCTCTCACACATTTTCCACCGTATACATCCTTCATAACTATATAGGACAAAAGATGCAACTCTCCGATTCTAAACTAGAAGAAAGCAACGCCAAGGCGGCTATAATCCTATCGAATATTTTATGAATATAGGACAACACTGAATGCTCTTAAACATACTTCAACATCATCTATTCAGAGATCCCACTGGTGATCCGCTTGATTACGCTCAGTAGTTACCGAAACTCTTCGTTTCGGTAACAGAATGTCGGAACGTCGAAGGTACGATTTTTCCTTTTTTTCTCCCTATATCCACGTGTTGTAGGCAGAATCCGCACGACGTTTTTCTCGCAAACGTGTATCGGTATCGTATGTATGTATATGTTTGCGAAAAAATAGCTCAGAAGAAAACAATCGTAGATTTAATTCCTCACTTAAGTCACAGAAACGATTTGGGTTAAAAGTGCAGATCTTATCGGTTTTCGAAATACTGCTTCTGTAACTTAAGTGAGGAATTGAATCGACGATTCTGTTGTCTTCTGAACTATTTGTTCGCAAATGTGTACATTTTCTTAAACATATGTTGCCGATACACGTTTGTTTTTAAAAAGTCTTTAGAATTCTGCCTACAAGGTGTGATCTAAGGAAAAAAGAAAAATCATAGCTTCGATGTTCCGACATTTTGTTACCGAAACTGTACCAGCGTAATCGAGATGATCACAAGTGGATACTGCATGAAGTCGGACAACATTATTAATCCGTTTTCCAAATGGCCACTACAGATCAAATATGTCTTACTTTCAAAGTATTTTTGTACAAGAAGTGGTTTTGAATGGAACAAGTTTGAAGAAAAATGGAGCAGTTACGTGTCGGCCTCGTTATCCTTCATTTTTTAAACCTTCAAACTAGAAAACTGAAACTCCTCGGAGTAGCAAATCCCATCAAACAAAACCTGATTTGATAAATAGCAGCCATCTTGAAAATCTTTTCTCGAACCGAGCTCCCTTGTCCCTAGGTATAAACATGTGAAATTTGAACCAAATCTGTCCATTAGTATTTGAAGTATTGGAGATTATGTTTTTTACGAAAGATGACTGCCATTTTGAAATTAATTGGCCTTTTTGAAAATGTCTCCTTGACCAGAGCTTCTTTCTCTCTTGGCATCGGCATATTTCAACCGGATCCGTCTACTGGTATTTGAGTTGCCAAAGATTCCTTATTCCTTATCGAGCAGAGCTCCTGTGTTCTTATGCATCCGCATATAAAAGGTACCGTCCCAACAGACCCCCTTTCTGCCCCCATCAGAATCTAACTTATTTTGCATCTAGAGTATCCTCATAAATGTACTTCACAATAATATTTCAAAATTAGGTCAAATGATAGCCCAATGATGTCACTGGGTGCAAAAAGGTCAAGTTGGTAAAATCCATCTAATGATCAAATAATTTCCTTAAACATACCTAAATAAAATAAACCTGACTTTACATTTATTTCCATGGGGGAAAAGGTATCTTAATAGCCTTGGAGTAGTATTCACACCATACTTAACACAAGGAAAATGTTTTAGTCAAAATACATGTACTGGTAAACTGTCAAAATATTGTATTGTAATATATTTGATATTAATATTCTAAAGCTTTGATACAACATATTAGTATTTATTGAATTTCTATGGGTACCAATAGGTACCCATAGAAATTTATTTAGGTCTAAACCACCCCCCCCCCCTCCCCCTTGTAACAAAACCAAAAATCTTGAAAATTGAAATTCCTAGGAAAACGAAAATCGATGTCCGTCACCTAATGAAATCAGTGTTTGGCCCCCTCCGCCTAATGAAATTAATTACGTTTTTCGATTGACATCGATATTTTGACCAAACCCATAACAGATATTTTATATGACGTGCAAGGACCTGGGGACAATTCGGGAAATGCGGGCTGATCTCAGCTTTGAGCGTTAATCTCTGCCTCATTTAAAAAGCTAACTATGTGTTTTATATATCTTTTTGAAGTATTTTTTATTTGCATTTCAGTGAAATTATTTTTCCTTCAAAATTTTGATGGGATCCTACATATTATTAAAGTTAAATATACCCCGACATCGTCAAATACGCTGTAAGACGTAACACTTTGCGCTTACGGGGCTCGTTGAAATTGGGATAACTTTTGAAATAATGATCAAAATCAATCCCACTAAAATTTCACATTTTATTCAATCGAACATGTGCATTTATGACGTCACAATTGCTTGACGGCTACAGTTCAAATTATCTTAAAACGAACGCTTTTAAAGGCCCCATATAAAGTTTAAACCACTTTGGCCTATAATGTAGTCTTACCCAATGTTATCAAAGTGTGATATGTGAAACTTTTTTTTTTAATTTCAAAAAGTGGTTTTTGATAGACTTTTTGTTCCAAAATTTGGGAATTTATTTAAAACCAACTTTTAGAGGTCACTCATATCTTCTAATTAGCCACTATTCATACCAATGCATAGCATTCATCCTCCCATGTTTTTTGCCGAAAAAATTAAGAAAATCGTTTCATAAATAAGCGAGAAATGAACTTATCAGTGCATGAAAATGGTTCTGAGAAAAATGCATTTCAAAATTTTAGTTCTCATAGAAACCAATGGTACATTGATATCTAAAACATAATTTATTCTTCCTTTTAACCTGGTTAGACAATCAACATTTGTTTTTTATGAAAGTCTAACATATTTAGAAAAGATTGACATCGAAAAAAAAATTTCAATTTTTTTCAAAAAGTTTTTGGTACCTTAGTGACATCACTAATGTTTCAAAATATTTTTGATATGTTAAAACATTGAAATGGCCCATTAAATATGGCATTTTATTATTGAAATAGTGTGTCCTTTGTTCAACCTTTGCATTGGTGTTAAAAAGATAATCTTTTTTGAAATGCATTAAGAAATATTTGATGATTAAGAAATTTCAACTTTTTTTGAAAAATGGCGGGAAATTTGAATATTTGAGAAATGAAATGCTCACAACTTTTTTTCAAAATTTTTTTTTTTGTTCAAAAATCTCTAACATCACTTTTTAAGTCCTGACAAATAATAAATTAATGATAAAAAAATATTTTCAAACTTTAGACGGGGACTTTAAGAATTTCAAAATTGTGTAAGGTTTTGAAGGCGAATGGGACGAGCAATAAGTTTACCTTCATTTAACCTCCTAATTTATGTCTGATTTGAAAGAAAAATTAACTGCACAATATTGTCATGGCGAAATTTACAAAACAATAACCAGTTTGTTTATTTTGCAAATAATATTAAAATAAGAGCTGGTTTTCGAGACTTGAAAAAATGTGACGCATCGATTTTGTACCACAAATTCCATACATATCAATTTTTACTAACGCCCCAAATGGATTTCTTGACCGTTTTTCAAAATTCAAAAACATTTTAGAAATATTGTCCTCGAGATCTTGCTACCCTGTGAATTTTGTAATGATTAGATAAGGATAAAGTATTTTATTTTTAGGTTGAGTAAACTTGTAAAAAATGTGACGCTTGTCGTTTTTGACGTTGTAAGGCTGTTTGCGCCCTATACTGCTCATTGTTTTGTTTTGGTTTTTTGACGCCATAATGTTACGCTAATTGTCCCCAGTTTCGTGCGACGTGTATTAATAATTTTAGAACTATTCCATGTCAGTTTCACTATCCTCGGATAAAGGCAAGTCTTTGGCATCATGGAGAGAGTCACCTAGGAATTCTTTTGAAAATTGATAGCCTTCATGTCTGGCAACTCCAAAATAGGTGGCATATTATATATATCACACTACTATACCTTGCATTAGGTGTTCATGAGCAACCCATTTGGCTTATTAGTAATGATTATGTATTTGTTTTTATTTGTCTGTTCCTTATGAATGGTTTATCGGTTGAAAATTAGATGCTAGTAAGGCACTTTCAAAAATATATTAAACAATTCAATTAGACAAACAAAGTATCTTATGCATTTCTAGGTGTTAGGTATAGTAGTGTGTATATATCTCGAGCACACTAGCCTAAAGAAATGTTTTTTTATACCATATGATCATGCTCGATTTTTCAATAGTACTCTTTTCAAGGTTTTTGTGCTTCTGTTATTTTCTAACCTGGGCCGCAGATGAATGACACTTTTTGAAAAATTAAATTCATGAAATATTGAATTAGTTTTAAAATATTGAAAGTTATGTACCTTGTTTCTAAAACTGTAGAAAATGCATTTAGTAATCGTTATTGCTCATTTTGGTAAATAATTTTTGAACAGATTTCATAAAAATCGAGCCACTATTGACTATCTTATGCATTTTAAAAGAAAGCTACAATTTCGCTAAATATTCGTGAATCGCGTTCTCTTTACGATGAATACCTTTGCAGTTTTTGTGCATGTTCCGTAATGCTTATGCAGCATTTACCTATTTTCTTACTAAATCACTCATTGTTTTGGTAGTACTTCTTGAAATATGAATGTCAAAGACAAAAACAACTTGAAATTGTTGATTATTCATTTTTTATTGATTTTAATGGGCTTTGGCGATACCCGCTATCTTTGTAAATACATTTTATAAAAGTACAACGTTCTGGAAAAGCTATTACCTGCATTTTTGGCACCTCTAAATCACGTTGACCTCGATTTGACCTTTGTAGAGGGGAGGTTATTTGGTCTTGTGAATTAGTGTTATAAAAAGTTTGCAGACATTAGGGTTAATACTCCTATTCGCGA